TTTTTTTTATTTATTTGCTGAAAGTACTACTTCTTATGGTCATAAGAAAGAACATAAATTATTTTATCAAAAGGTGAAAAAAAAAGCCCCCAAATTCTGTGCTCTGAGCTTCTTGAAAGGTAACTTTTTCTCCACCAAATGTTGCATTAATTTGTGTAGTTAAATTTACTTACACACATTTTGATTGGTTTGGTTTTGATTGCACACATTTTATAGTGTTGATCATGTTTATCCTTGTTTTGGGTGCCATTTTTCATTCAGACATCTTTTCTGCTCAGACAGTTTAATTTCCTTACTAATGCTTCAGTTGCTCAGGTTTCTTTTCTTGATCTTGTTTGTAAATCATATTCTTATGTGTTTACTGGATTTTTTGTGTCATTTGATAGAAGAGAGGAAAAACACACTGTGTTTGGAGTTGAGAGAGTGAGAGAGAGAGCACAAAGAGGAGATTTTCCAACTAAAATCATGGCAGAAATCGTCCCGATCGGCACAATCCTAGCCGTCCTCTCGCGCCAGATCATCAAAACCGCGGCAGCCGCAAACGACATCCTTCTCGAGCACGAGAGCTTCGGGCTCCTTTCAAAACACCTCCTCGAAATCGACCCGGTCCTCACCGAGCTCCAGTCCCGCCACCTGAGCGACTCCCCCGCCGCCCGCCTGGCTCTCGAGTCCCTCGAGTCCGACATCAAGAAAGCCAATTCCATCATCGACAAGTACAAAAACCGGGCGCGCTTCTACCTTCTCCTCAAGTGTCGCCACATCGTGAAAGAGGTCCAAGACGTCACCCGAGAAATCGGAACATCCTTCTCGGCCCTCTCCCTCGCCAGCGTCGAGACCCTCTCGGGAATCTCCGAACGAGTCAAAAGGCTGCAAGACGAGATGCAACGGGCCCATCACGAGGCATCCTGCTCTCGTGTTGAGATCGTCGATAAACTCAAGCAGGGCCTCACGAACAGCCCGGATTTTACGAACAATATGCTGAAGGAGATCGCGCGGGCCGTGGGAGTTCCAGTCGAGCCCGACGTGATCGACGGGTTCAGGAGAGAGAAAGAGGAGGCCGAGTGCCGGATAGAAAAGGCTGAACTCCTGTTTCTCGAGCAGGTCATCGAGCTCTTGTCACGAGCAGATGCTGCTAGGGATTACGAACACGTGAAGGATCAGTACTTGCAGAGGGTTAAAGTGATCGAGCGGTATGACTCCAAAGAGGAGTTTATCGAGCCCTTTAAGCCCTTCTTTTGTTGTATATCTGGGAACGTGATGGCGGACCCCGTTAGCCTCTGCACGGGGACAGCTTGCGAGAGGGAGGCTTTAGAGGCGTGGTTCGAACGTGGGGAGAAGACAGATCCCGAGACGGGTGAGGTTCTCGAGGACTTTACTTACAGGCCGAATGTGCAGCTGAGACAGTCGATCCAGGAGTGGAGGGAGCTTAATTATTGTGTAAAGATTCGGTCTTGTAGAGGGAAATTGTTGTCCGGGTTCGAGTCCTGTGTTGTGGAGGGTCTTTTGGTGGTGAGGGAGCTTGTTCGGGAGAATTCGGTCAATAGGGATTGGGTGTCGATCGGGGGTTTGACCGATGTTGCTGTTCGTATGGTCAGGAGTGAGGTCGATGAGGGTGTGAGGAGGCTTTTGTTGGTGACTTTGAAGGATATTGTAGATGGTCATGACAGAAACAAGGTCAGTTTTCATGGAGAATAACATGTAGTTTAAACTTTTTTTCAGATTTAAATTCGACTTTTTTCAGATGTATAGCATTTAGTTTAAACTTTGCAGGAAATTTTCATGGAGAATAAGGGGATTGAGAAAGTTGTTCCTTGCTTAGGGATGGATTCAAGCATATCAAAGGCTGCTCTCGAGTTGCTGCACGAGGTTCTGCTTGATAAATCCGGTTGGAACACGCCTTATTGTCGGATGCTTTCTCAGGAGCACGACTTAATCTTGCATCTCGTTTCCCTTCGTAAAACATCAGCCGATGAAACTGCCAAAATAGCAGAAGAAATCTTGTTGAAGCTTTGTGAAGTAGATGAGACTGTCATTATTCGAGCAGCTAAAGTGGACTGGTTCAGACCACTCATCGATAAGCTGATCCAAGGTTAGGATGCATAGCGTATTAATAAGTTGTGCTGTAAGTTCATAATGTAACTGAACGGCTGTAGCTGTAAGGTCATAATGTAACTAACCATTGTTCGCCTGCTTTCAGGATCAACACCAGTAAAGGTACCACTTGTGAGAGAACTTGTTAACATGGAGCTCGATGACCGGAAAATCGACTTACTTGGCAAGGAAGGAATAATTCCCCCCCTCCTCGAGATGGTTTCTGAAAACATCGAATCAAAAGACGTCTCGTTACAAGCACTCGTAAAGCTCTCGATTTCCCCTCACAACAAACCCCTCATTGCATCTTTCGGCGGTGTCCCTCTCATTCTAAACCTACTCTCGTCCCCCAACAAGCCCCCCGTCCTCATAATTGCCAAATGCGCCGAGATTCTCTCCAATCTTTCCTCAAATGGCGATGGTACTAAATTTCTAGTCGACGAATCGAGTAACCGGCTCAATTTGCAGCCCGTAATCACGTCCTTGTTATCTTCCCAAGTAATCCTCCACTCTCCGGACACCATCCGTAAACCCGCCCTGCGGTCCCTCCTCGCGATCTTCCGGTCTGACTCTATGCTCGTCAAGTTCGCGGTCCTCTTCGCCGGTGGCGTTTCCGTAATTCTCCCTTTGCTTGACGACTCGAATCAAGAAATTCGTGAACTAGCAATCAGTCTCCTCTTTCTATTTTCCCACCACGAACCGGATGGCATCGTCGAGTACCTACTAAAACCCAGACGTCTCGAGGCTCTAGTCGGACTCCTCGAGAATCCAGACGTTCAGGCACCTGCGGCAGGCCTCTTGGCC